AGAACTTTGAGCCACACACTTGGCAAAATGGATGTTTATTGTTTTTTTGGTTTTTTTTGTTTGTTTGTTTTTTTGACGGAACCGGGGATTGAACTCAGGCCCTTGCGCTTGCCAGGGAAGCGCTTATTCCACTGAGCTATCTCCCCGGCCCCAAAATGGATATTTATAACAAAATATGTTTTTTTTTTGTTTTTGTTTTTTTTTTGTTTTTTTGTTTTTTTGTTTTTTTGTTTTAGCGGAACCAGGGATTGAACTCAGATCCTTGCGTTTGCCAGTCAAGCACTTATCCTACTGAGCCATCTCCCCGGCCCCTCTTATTTTTGTATATTTGTAATTGCTCTTGGTAAAGGAAAGATGAGTTGATTCTGTTATTAGGTTCATGAGCAGCTTTCTGTTTGTTTTTGACTGTCCTTCCCACTGCATTTTAGGGAATGCGAAGTATTCTGTAAGAACCATCCTGCCCCATTCTCAAAAGTCATTACTTTCCACAAGAAGGAGCCATTTGAACTAGAAGCATTTTACAGTAACTTACATGAAGTGCCTTATCCTGATCCAAGAATTGGTAAGAAAACTCAAGAAAGAAACTTTCTAATTTTTTGGCCTTTATTAATAATATATAGAATCAAGAAAATAGAGTGACATTTCAGCTAAATCAGCCATAGGTTTCCCAAGAAAGATAGTTGTACTTTCTTATATATATGCAGTTTTTTGGTGTTTATTTTTAGAATAAGTACACTTAGTTTTAGTATTCTTAATTCATTTCAACATCTGTATTTAAAATGCTCTACAATTGATCAGAAAAGTTTGTGAGTATATTTTGGTAGGAAAACTTAAGTCAAATTGTGCTACCAGAACTTAGCCCTGCATGATTTTGCCCTATAAAAACAACCTGGAAGAGACAGCTTCCGGAGCAACCTGCTCGGGCCCCCCTTGGGTCTCTCTCTTGGATAGGCGCTTTCTTTCCCCCCAATAATTATATTGTGCTCATAAAAAAAAAATTGTGCTACCATACTGACTTTGGATTTTGAAATTTGTTCATAGGCAGCAGCTACAATAAATATTTGTTATCAATGAATTTTATCAATTTTAGGTTAATCTGAAAGTGATAAAAAGATAATAAGCCTATTTTAACTGAGTAATCATTTCAGATGATGTAAAGCAAAATAAAATTTATAGCATTTAAAGAGAAGCAGTTTTTAAATTTTAAAATTTTCTGTATACTGATAAGGTAAAAGGGCTACTAAATATTTTCAGGTATTTTAAATATATTCAAAGTTTTTCAATACTTAAAAGCAGAAATTATTGAAAATTATGGTAGTTCACTAAGGCTATTGCTCAATAGCACAAGCTAAATGGCTTAAGCAGTAGAAATATACAGTCTGCCAAAAAAATGCATACACACTTCAGCAATTCACTGTACTAATAAATGAAGCTAATGGCCACACATTGAGCATAACTTGTAATTGTAGAGACCAAAGATAACTTGTATTAATCTTATATCTCAGTAAGTATAATATTAAATTAGTTGTACAAATTTTTCTTTTCTTTCCTTTTTTTTTTTTTTTTTTTTTACTACAGGGGATCGAACTCAGGACCTTGCACTTGCCAGACAGGTGCTTAAACCACTGAGCTATTTGCCCAGTCCAAGTTTTTCTTTTCTTGATGCATACTCTTTTTTTTTTTTTTTTTTCCAGACTGTATTGTCTCAGTAGTGGAAGCTAGAGTTCTGAAATGAAAGTATCAGCAAACATGGTCTATTCAGAGGGCAATGAAGGATCCATTTTAGTTTAGTTGGTTTCTAGATGACCATCTTCATGTTCTCATGACATTCTCGAATCTTAACATTTGTGTCTGTCTTTAAGTTTCTCTTCTAGAAGGTAGCCGTACTGAGTTAGGCCCACCCTAACAATCTCATTTCAGTTCAGTTACCAAAGATTCCATCTTCATAATCACATCCTGAGTTACCAGGGTGGTTAGAACTTCAACATATGAATCTTGGGATACAATTCAATTCATTGAAAAGGTAGCCAAAGTTTTTACTGTCCAATTTTTTTGTGTGGAATTCTCTCTTTTAATTTTGCTTAGGAGAAATCCAAAAATGTTTGTATTATTTAGTTATGTACTATCAGGATAATTATGGTTTGTAAATTTAACACCAAAAAGGTAATACATATTATTTTATTCTCAACTTCAGGAATTGAATTTTGTTACTTTGGTTTTAGATATTGCAACTATTCTCTTCATAGCAGTGACAGTTTAGGGCAAGTTACTTGACCTTTTTGAGTCTTTAATACCACATGTGCTTTGATGTGAAATAAATACCCGGGGGAAAGTGTGTTCCCCATAGTAATTTCAATCAAGATTTGATCACAATTTTACAATTATTTGCCATTATCTTAAAGACAACTGTCATTGAACTAAAATTTGTATTGATGAGCACTCTTTTTTCCTTAAGGGACCTTTACTGTTCAGAACGTTTTCCCACAGTCTGATGGTGATAATTCCAAAGTAAAGGTTAAAGTTCGTGTCAACGTCCATGGAGTCTTCAGCGTGGCTAGTGCCTCAGTAGTAGAGAAGCAGAATTTGGAGGGGGACCATAACGATGCTCCTATGGAGACAGAGGGTTCATCTAAGAATGAAAGCAAAGATGATTCGGTATGTAGAAATCCTATCTCCAATCTCCTATGACATACATATATAGTATTTTAATCATAACTGGAAGTTTTAGTATTTGAATATATTACTTTCTGATGTTTGGCTTTCTGCTATAAGATCAAATGTGAACTTTATTAAAGGCTAACCTACCCTTCACACTGTAATACTCTTTTCAGGGGCTTATGCATCTTTCATAGAGTTATATGGAGCATGGGAATTTGAAATCATTTTAAGTTCTTTCCATTAAAGCAGTGTATTAGTGTTTGATTTTTACCCTATAGATAAAACCAATTCAGAATAAGTTTTGAACTATACGTATGTATTTTTAGACTAAGACTACATGCATATGGCTCCCAGTCCCCCAGGTTTACTCAGGGAATGTCCATAATAATTAAGCAGAGGAAAGGCAGACTTTTTATTTTTTTCTTTATGTAAGTGATGTGATATTGAAAATACTTTTGAAATAAGGAATGTTGGAAGAACTTAATTATATTCAGCTGCACATAATTTATGTGTTTTCATCATTTTTGTGTATACTCTTTGTAAAATATTGTTAATAGTACGTTAGATTTTTTTTTCCAGTCATAACTGGAAATCTGCCCAAGATTTTTCATCTATTTGTACATATTAAGAATGGGTTTGGGCTGAGGAGATAGCTCAGTAAAATAAATGCTTGCCTGGCAAGCGCAAAGGCCTGAGTTCAATCCCCAGTTCAAAAAAAAAATGGGTTTGTACCATGCCGCTGCGGGCCCCCCACCCCACACTGAGACAGCCAGTGAGACCGGATGTGGTGGCACTCGCCTGTAATCCCAGTGCTTCAGAGGCTGAAAACAGAAGGAGTCTGATCTGTGTACACCCACTATATACAAAAAAAAAAGTTTTCAAGCCACACATGGTGCGCCCCTTGTGGCTGTGTAATCTCAGACACTTGAGAGGTTGAAGTGTCTTGAGAGGCTCCACTGAGGTGAAAGGATCACTAATCCAAGACCAACTTGGGAAATACAGTAGAAAACATCTTGAAAAATATGGGGGGATGTTACAGTTTGTGTCTTATTGCCCCCCCCAAAGCCTCATGTAAGTTATGGGGCAGCTTCTAGAGTTTGTGATTGATTATTGTGGGTGTGGATACTGTACCTGCCCCCCCCCCCGTCCCATTCCACCCCACCTCTCTCAAGTAATTTGAATTTCAGTGTAAGGAAGGAAAAGAAGTTAGCTGCTTGAGCTGCTGCCACTCCCCCCCTTTGCCCTCTTGCCGTTGCCATGAAAGTTTGCTTTCTGCTATATGCCATGCTGCCTTGGACTGAAACCTCCAGTAACTGTGAGCTAAATAAACCTTTCCTTCCGTCAATTTGGGTGTCGGTTATTTGTCTCAGCAATGAGAGAAGAGTATCTAAGACAAGGGAAATCCTTTTGTTAAGTTTTAATATGATTTCTCCCTTTGGAGGTTTCCTTTTTATGTTTAGTAATTACTTTAATAAGTATTCTCAGTCAAAATTGAACCACTAGACCCATAAAGGACTTCATTTAAAGGACCATGCATATTTTTCATGCTTCCCATGTGTCATTTTATCATGTCATTTCTTGAACTGAGAAAGTCCCAATTTGTTAGTGAAATAATTTTTTTCATAAATTAACACACAGATGATTCATGAAAGTGTTTTTGCTTAATTATAGTTCACAATAGCAAGGCATGGTGGAATGTCTCTCTAATCCCAGGATTTGGGAGGCTGAAACAGGATCACAATAGGTTCAGGGCCAGCCTGGGCTACATAGTGAGTTCAAAGCTAGCCTGTACTACAAGCGACTCCCTGTCTCCATAAAACAAAAAGAATAGGGCTAAGGAGATAGCTCAGCAGCATAAGCGTAAGAGCAAGGTCCCAAGTTCCATCCCTTATACTGCATGCCATGCTGACCCTGAAAACCTGGTATGGTAGTACATGCCTATAATCCCTGTACTGGGGAGACTGAGACAAGAGGATCACTAGGAGTCCAAACTGGATAGTGAGACTTTGTATCAAATAATAATAATAATAATAATTCACAATTATGTATGTGAGATACATAAATTTAAGCCATTAATACTTATTTTTACTATAGTTCAAAGTACTCTGTGTGCTTTCTAGGACCAGTTATTTGTACCCATTTTGCTTTCTTCATACTTCTTTTTTAAGAGTGTTTATGCCAACTCTTATTTTCTCTATGTAAGATTAGTGAACCCTTAAAAACAGGAAATAAAATAAGAATATAATGATACACAGTTGTTAGAACACCTACTTCCTATTTTCTTTTTTCTTTATTTCTTTTTTCTTTTGCTCCATCTTTGGACTAGAAATCCATTCAACCAGTATTTTAGGATAATTTCTGAATGTGAACTTAAAAAGAGTCATCTGTGAATGACGTAAATGGATTAGTGATCACTGCTTTAGTCACTCAGTTACCTGGATTAGTTTTGGGATAAAGTGTTTTGGGTTGACTAGGACATTTCAAGCTAATTAAAGTTTTCATATAAGGAGTTTCCAGATATTTCCTGCATTCTCTTTTTTTAAACTTACATAAGGGAAAAAGAAAGGCAACTAATATTATGGATCATATACTTAGCATTTGTGGTGAGTTCATTCACATATATATTCTTTGAAAGCTCTACCATGGCTGATAAAATAGGTGCTACATAAGTTATAGTTATTTCTGTATCATTCCTTTTTTTTTTTTTTTTTCAGTACTGGAGATTGAACTCAGAACCCTGAGCTATCTCCCCGGCCCCATATTTCTGTATCATTCTTAATATGAGAACTAATATCACCTCTTTTTTTGTACCAGGAATTGAACTCAGGACCTTGTGCTTGCTAGGCAGGTGCTTGTGCTGCTGAGCTGTATCCCTAACCCTTACCATATTTTATAGGAAACATCTTGTATACTTTCTTAATAATTCTCTCTAGTGTTTTTCTCTTTAATTCTGTATCCATAGGTTTAAAAAAGGCTTAAAGATCATAAAGTTATCACTTTATTTTTTCTGAAAGCATGAGTTTCAGCTAGAATATAGAAATTAATTTAGAGAGGAAAATAAGATAATAACTAGTTGGTACTTTCCCTATTGCTAAATTGTTGGCTGTGACATAGTAAGAGCCTTTTTCTTATGAGAGTCAGTTTATGACAGACCACTTTATGTGTCTAATTTTTTCATTCAATATTAAGATAGCTTAGACTTTCCTGAAAAAATATGATATAGATTGACTTTAGTATAAAAAAGTCTTAAAAAATTGACATCTCTTGTTAGATGTATATTAATATCTGAGCACATTAAGAAGTTGTTACATCAAGGGCCGGGGAGAAGGCTCAGTAGAAGAAGTGCTTCCCTGGCAAGCGTAAGGGCCTGAGTTCAATCCCCAGTTCTGCAAAAAAAAAGAAAAAAAAGAAATTGTTGTATCTTAAACTTCATAATAGAACCAGAAATCAAAGAAAAATATGCTGTTCATCATTCATTTGCCACTGTTTTACCTGTTTCTTAATTACTGACCATTTGAAGCTTTTATCTTTTTACCTACTTACTTTTAAATTTAAATACTTGAGGGCTGGGGAGATAGCTCAGCAGTCTAAGCACCTCCTGACAAGCACAAGGACCTGGGTTGGAGTCCCAGTACTGCATGTCATGCAGGCATGAACCAGCCACTCAACCAGGTGTGTGCTACACATCTATAATCCCAGCACTGGAGAGGCTGAGATAGGATGATCATTGCAAGTCTGAGCTGTGAATTGAGACCCTGTACCAAGTAAAAAAATTTTTTAAAATAGAATATTAAATTCAAATACTTGATTATGTATAGTAAAAATTCTTCAAGGCACATTAAGTACAATAATAAACAAGATAGAAAGGTCCTTACACATCTGTAACTTACATTCTAGTGGAAAAGGCCAGGCAAGAAAGTAACAAAATAATATATAAATGAAATGAATGGAGACGTGTGCTGGGAATTAACTGTGTAGGACAGTCTGAAAGATGAGCACATTTTGGTGGTAAGGAGAGGGTAGTTAGTTGTCCTGGTAGAGGGAATAACAAGCACAAAGACCAGGAGACAGGAAGCCCTTTATTCTTCTAACAAATAGAACAGTGGCTGGTAATAGGGAACACTTATCAAGAAGATAATAAAACAGAAAAGGTAAAGTAAGAGAACAAATCAAGTAAAACATTATACTCTATTGCAGGATAATGATTGTGGACCTTATTCTCAAGTGCCTTTTATTCAGCAAATAATGATAAGCACCTAAAATGTGTAGTAGGGTATGGCAGAAAGTTTAAAGTCAGTCAGAGAAGCCAGAGTCTATAGCATCTTCTATTAATTTCACCACTATGGTTAATATTCTTTTAAAGTCTTCTTAATAAGGCATTAACGAATTATTACACACAAACACACACACACACACACACATATACATGCATAAATTATAGAGTTGAGTTGCCTACTTTCTAACATGTACAAAATTGGAACCAAGACTGGTGGTGCATGCCTGTCATCTAGCATTCTTCAGGCTGAGGCAGGAGGATTGTAGAAGGAAGGCCAGCCTGAGTTGCTTAGACTAGTGAGACCCAGTCTCAGAAACAAGCCAGAATATGAGTAGCCGGTGGCCAACTTCCAGTTCTGGGCATTGAGACACGAAGACCGTGTCAGAGCTACCAGGAAAATGCGGTCTTTAACTAAAGAGGAGACCCGTGTGATGTTTGAGAAAATTGCAAAATACATTGGAGAGAATCTTCAGCTGCTGGTTGACAGGCCCTACTATTTCAGACTGCACAATGACCAGGTGTACTATGTGAGTGAGAATATGCTGAAGCTGGCTCCAGGTACAAGCTGGTGTCCTTGGGGACCTGCTTTGGAAAGTTCACCAAGACCCACAAGTTCTGGCTGCACGTAATGGCCCTGGACTTCTTGGCACCTTGTGCCAAGTACAAAGTGTGGGTAAAGTCTGGAGCAGAGCAGTCCTTCCTGTATGGAAACCATGTATTGAAATCGTCTAGGCCAGATCACTGAAAATAGTTCTCAGTACCAGGGAGTGGTGGTATACTCCATGGCAGACGTCCCTCTGGGTTTTGGGGTTGCAGCAAAGTCTACACAAGACTGCAGGAAAGTAGACCCCATGGCGATTGTAGTATTTCATCAGGCAGAAATTGGGGAATACATAAGGCATGAAGAGACACTGACTTAAAGTCATCACAAGGACCTAACAGCTGTGTGGAAGGGCCTCGCTTGGTTTCCTGTGTCTGCAGATGCCTCCATCATGTGGAATTTTGTCACCACTGTGATTTCTACAAGGATTTCTTAATATTATCACTAACAAGTGTAGGTTGGATTCTTCCTATGCAGAAATGCCTCAGAAGTGGAGTTTCAGATCTATTTGTGACTAAATAGAATACTCTTATTCTATATTTGAATCATTTTTACATTTGAATCAGGGCTTCTTGTTCAGAATGATAGGTTCTAAATCATTAGAACCAAGGACAAGAATCGCTTATTATTGTTATCTGTGATAACATTTTCGTTCACCAGACTCATGATAAGCACAGTGGCCTTTCTTTTTTGTGACTATCATGAAAGATAAGAATAAGGTTGGGCATGGTGGCTCCTGCCTGTAATCCCAGCACTGGGAAGGCTGAGGCAGGAGGATCGATGTGAGTTCAAAGGCCAGCAGGAGCTATATATAGGTAGAATTTGTCTCAAAAAAAAAATAGTAGCCCATGTCACAAATTTTACACATGAAATATAGCTTAATTAGTATGTGTAACTTTTTATTGGTACACTGTAGATATACACAATAGAGAATTTGTACCTGTATAGGATATCTCTTCCCTCTTTTCTCTCCCCCCTCCCCTCCAGCCCCCCTTCCCTGCTTAGTTACAAAAGCTTTGTTTCCATTTTTTTCCTTCTGTTCTCTTTCTCTTGTCTCTTCTTTCCTTTTCCCCTCCCCACTCCATTGAAAATCTTCCCACTTCCAAATTCCTATTGTACATTTTGGTCCTTATTTGAAAATCTTCTCATTTTCATATTCGTATTACACATTTCGGTCCTTATGGTAAGAGGAACCTGTTCAGCTGTTTTCCAGTAAGTGTGTATGTGTGGAACAAAAACTTCTGTTTAAACCTGTTTCTTCCGCCTCTCAGCTCTATCATTTTGGGGGAGTCATTCAGCTCTAATAAGTGTTGCTCTCTTTTTCTTTCCTTTTTTATTAAAAAAAAATCTTAAACCATCAGCCTAGGAATGGTTTTTAGAATCAGAAATCGTGATTATAAAGCACCTTCTACAATACCTGGCAAATGGTGGGTGTTGAATAAATGCTAAGAGTTATTTTTATATTACATATTTCTATTATTAAGCATAGGATCTTAATGTAACATCATATTGTTTCCTACATGATTTTTTAAATGATCCTTTTTATGGATGGGAAGCTCCCAGGCTGAAGTATTCTCATCACTTTAATTTTATTTATATTATTTTATCATATTGATTTTATAAAACATGATTTCTCTTGGGAACCCCCCTTTACATGATTAGACTGAACCCAAAGCACTAGAGAGTAATTATAATTCAGCTCCTTTATCCTTCCTCAAACTATTTTAGAATAAAACATTTTTAAATTAAATTTTATTGATAGATTTTATACATACATAATAATCATAATGAAAAATTTTAAAAGATATTTCACAGCCAAAATTTGTTCAGACTACCTTTGTTATAAAACAAAACAATTTCTTCAATCAGTATACTATATACTATTTTTAATTCCAATGTTTACATCTTTAAAAATAAAATATTTTAAACTACAAAAACCCCATAATAATAATAAACCAAATTGGGATGGGTTAATCACTGCAAATGATAACATTTTATGTGCAGCCATGGCAGTAGTCAAGACAATTCTCAAAGCTGGTTGTATGTGAGTTTGGTCATTAGCCCTAGTAGCATGACTAGGTAGTTGCAACTGTGTCATCCTATAGACCATTTAAATCAATGAAGGAATACAAGTCCTGGCTGTTTTCTGAAGTCTTTTGCAGCTAGGTTCTGTGGTGTAATGGTGAAGTCTCTTGACTTTGATCTTTTCAGATAAAATACAATTATAAAATCTGGTGAGAAAGTGGCAGTAGCTTTAGAATATACGAGACCGATTTTTTAAACAGATTCTGGCTTGAAGCTGGGGAGATAGTGTGGCGGTCTAAGCACCTGCCTGGCAAGCAGAAGGACCCAGGTTTGAGCCTTGGTACCGCATGCTGTCCCAGCCCCAGAGACCTGGCTGCACCATGCTGGACCCTCAAACCAGACATGGTAGTGCACGTACTCCTATAATCCCAGCACCGGGGAGGCTGAGATAGGAGGATCACTATGAATCTTGAGCTGCATAGTGGGACCCTGTACCAAATAAATAACTAAAAGATTTTAAAAAATTGTTTTTAAATGCTGGTTCACAAATCCTGTTGCTGACACAAAAGTTGATACTGCATAGAAAAATAAATACATTAACAACTAAATTAAGTGTTCTAGAAAAGTTAGATTCTAAATTTAAAGAAGTTCTAGAAATACCTTGTCTTTTTTGTATTTTTGTATGTACGAAAAAGATACAAATATATAAGTAATAGAAAAATTATTTGAACAAATGCAAAATGAAGATTGTTCATGATTAAGCATTATGACCATTTGATGACATTTTGCTCTAATAAGAGTTAATACCAAGCACAAGGGTCTGAGTTCAATCCCCGGTTCCACAAAAAAAAAAAAAAAAAAAATTCTTTTGGGCTGGTGAGATGGCTCAGTGGTCTGAGGCACCTACTTAGAACAAGCTTAGCAAAGCACAGGGACCGCGGTTCAATCCCCCAGCACCACATGCCAGCCAGCCCCGCCCCCTGGTGGGCTGAGCTGGCCACACACACACACACACACACACACAAATAAATAAATAAATAATTTTTTTAAAAAAAGAGTTAATACACGACCCCAGCCTCACTGACACTTTTTTTATATCTCCTGTCCATTGTAAGGTTTGGACAGGTAAAGAGTTGCAAAGAGTAAGAAATCTAGAATATCAGAATTCTTTTAACTACAAACAATTATCCTCTAATTTATTCTTCTCTTTGGCACAAATGAACATCTATTCAAGATAGATTTTGAGTATTACATGTTTACTTAACTCTAGGTATAACTAAAGATAAATAATTTTTTCTGCTACTGTATCTAGCTTTTTTTCAGAAGAACAGTGGTGAAGAGGATTAAGAGAAATGTATTACTAAGGATTGCCAAGTGGAATTGATTTTGGGATTTTTTATTGGTTAAAAGTTTCCTTTTTAGGATATAAAAAACTTAAAAAGTTTACATCAGAGACATCTACTGAGAGTTTTGTTGAACTTCAGTATTTTACTCCATTTTAAAATGTATAACTGAATTTTTCAAAGCAAAACTTTTTTGTCTTAAATTTATTTTCCAATGTTCTTTAAAAAGATTTTTCAAATCAACTTCAATGAGTTCTTTGTAAGCTTGCTTTTGTAAATCTTGATTTGTAAGTTTGAGGACAGCTTTCTGTATTTTGCAATTGTTTGGTCACAGATGAATGAAACAAGATCTATTTGCAGAACATCATATAGTTCTTTTTATTTTACTTAGCTGTTGATCTGGTTTTTTGTTATTCTCATTTGAAAAATGAGCCTATACTATGTCATACCTCTCAAAACAGGCTTAAATTCTAAGGTGCAGTTTTAATTTTTTTAAGAAGGATGAAATATATTATCTTATGTATTTTCTTGCCAGGATAAAATGCAAGTTGACCAAGAAGAAGGAGGTCATCAAAAAAGTCACGCTGAACATACCCCAGAAGAGGAAATTGATCATACAGGAGCCAAAACAAAGGTTTGGTTTACTTTTTCTGTAGTTTAATCTCTTGACATTATTTTTAATTAATATAATTACTTTGTAATGCTTGTTGTTAATATACTTGATACTATAAATTTTAATACTGTAGAAAAGTGCAGAAAGCTCTGTAACTGGAATAAACACTTATCAGTGTTTTAGTACAGAGGTTTTTAAACAATAAGCTGTAATACTACAAACAAAGTTGGTGTCTTTGACAGGGAAAAATATTTTTGCAGTAACTATTTTCTAATTAAAAATCATGAGCCTCAAAGAAAATATGAAGTAGAATAAGCCAAATGAAATAAATTTAAATTTGCAATGCCATGTCTCAGAATTAACCAACTCAGCATTTTCCAGAGTATTATATTTTTCTTTGTGCAAAAATATTTTAAAATACCAAATTCTAGGGTTTTGACCTCCACAAAAAAATATGTATATAAAATTTTAAATGATAGGGCCGGGGAGATGGCTCAGTGGAATCATTGCTTCCCTGGCAAGCACAAGGGCCTGAGTTCAATCCCTGGTTCCACAA